CCAAACATTAGAGCAGAAAGGAACAAACACCATGTGTTTCACATGGCCAACACCTATGGCGCTTGAGATGGAAAACATTAAAGGAACCGTAGAACCCCCAAAAAGATGCCGAAGTTCATATTTTTTCAGGACAGTTCCCCATGATGTTCCCGATGATGTTCCCCCCATACTTTCCAGGATTTGTAAAGTTGTTCAACAACCATTTGGGGGGCTACAAGGCTATACGGCTATACCCTTCCATCGATCCTGCCGTTCCGAGGCGGCTGACTTGCACAGTGTGCTCTCGGCCATCGAAGCCTTCGCAGATGGACGGAAGTGGCTGAAGGCGGTGAGCAGATGGAGAATTTCCCATTGGAAAATGACGAGGAACCACTGGATCACTGGGGTTTAACTCGGTTTAACTCGGTTTAACATGGTTTGACCTTGAAAAATGGTGGAAAAACACCAGAAAGTGAGGATCTTATCCAGTAATTTGACATGGAAATTCCCAACTTGGCGTGGGAAAATATGGGATGATTCTGGGATAATCATCTATTGAGAGTCTGAAAGGCATACTGCAAGAGTAGCAAGAGTTCTCTGAATGACAGTCTTCAGATCGTTTATGGCCTTGAACAACAGCCATGGCGCTGCCAATCGGCTACAATCCTTGGAATCTATGGGGTGCATTCTCCACCGTTGATTCATGCAATGTTAACATTTGAGTCGCTTCATACTCCACTGCATACTTGGAAGTTGCTGGTGATATCTCCAACTTGTTCCTCATTTCAGCTAGAGTATATCGTTGACTGAAAGTTAGGTGGGGTTAAAGGACATGTTACCCTTTGGTTATGACTAACATAGCTATGGAAAATGACCCATTTGTTGGTTTGATGTAGCTGGTAAAATGGGGATTTTCCATCGCGATTGCCGGTGATTTTCCCCCACCTCTGCAGGTGGCCGGGGGTCGAAAGGCCTTTCTCTTGCAGGCAGAAATTCCTTCGCGGTGGACAGTTGTTTAGTGACCGCTAAAAACAAAAGCATCGAACGACATGGGGAATTTTCCATTGCATGTTTGATAACAGGGGAAAATCATGATTTCTTGGGTATCTGGGTGTGGCAAGGTATGGATAGCTACCAATAGCATTTTTCTATTTGGGGGGACGAACCTTGTCAGTGACTTCTTATCTACTGTATATATTTTGACAGGGTTTGGATTCATCCTCGGGTATGGGTCAAAATTACTGGACCCCCAGTAATCTGGATGGGTACATGAATATATTATCCTTGTATTTATATAAGGGGTATATGGGTCAAAATGGATGGTAAATCTGATCTTACCAAAATAGTGGTGAATTACTTTTCTATTTTTTTGGCTACTATGTATGGGTATGGGTCAAAGCTAACTACATGAATGGACCTCCAAAATGGATGGTAACATCAGATTTTCCCTCTGGTAGTTTGCCATAGCCATGGAAACCCAATGAACATCACCATGTTTACTACGGTAGGTGGACGAATTATTCGAGGCCTCGTAGACATTCCCAAGCCCGTCCCCCCAAGTTTCAATGTTATTGGTGTTAAAAGCATGGCCATGAATGGACGAAAGAATTCAAACCCCTGAGGACAGACATGGAGACATAAAACATGAACGTTGAAATTTAGGGGGCCTGCGGGAACTTACAACTCACGCAGGGGTTTGATTAATTTGTCCATCTACTGTAGGTAACTCATTGAAGAACATGGACCATTTTCCATAGTGATGTCAAATTACCGGAGGGTATATGCATGAATGTCCCAGTATCCCATCATTATCCCATCATTATCCCATCATTATCCCATCATTATCCCATCATTATTCTCAATAATGTGTTGATAAGGATGATAAGGAGCCACTGTCGATAATGTGTGTCACAAGGATGACAAAGAGTGAAATCATGTTTGCAAACCCTGTTTCACTATTTTATCATCAGACTAGCACCGTAATATTACTATTTTTTAAATCTCTCTCTCTCTCTATATATTTATAAATATCATATCATACAACCACACATTATAATATATACTCTATAAATATAAATAAAGTAAAATAGCAATAAATATACATATACATCATATACATATAGATATAGATACATATTTAGATATAGATAGATATAGATGGATATAGATGGATAGAGATAGATATAGATAGATATAGATAGATATAGATACATACAGATAGATATAGATATAGATAGATATAGATAGATGCCCGGCAAGAAATAGCAGGCCGAGTTCCCCGCGCAGTCATAGATACATATATATCTATTATTTATATAGATAAATAGATAGATAGAGAGGTAGCTAGGTAGGTAGGTAGGTCGGTAGGTCGGTAGGTCGGTAGGTCGGTAGGTCGGTAGGTCGGTAGGTCGGTAGGTCGGTAGGTCGGTAGGTCGGTAGGTTGGTAGGTCGGTAGGTCGGTCGGTCGGTAGGTAGGTAGGTAGGTAGGTATGTGGGCAGGCAGGCAGGCAGGCAGGGAGGCAGGCAGGCAGGCAGGGAGGCAGGCAGGGAGGGAGGCAGGTAGGCAGGCAGGCAGGCAGGTAGGGAGGCAGGCAGGCAGGCAGGCAGGCAGGCAGGTAGGTAGGTAGGTAGGTAGGTAGGTATATATATATATATATATATATATCAATCATTACATCCATTTATACCACCATGTGATGCAGAGAAACTGCGGTTTTCCCAGTCGCTCCAGGGCAGCTTGTTGCCCGGCGACCGTGTCGTGGAGTTTGGAACGTGCGCGCGGTCTCGGGGAGGATCAACTGCAACAACAAGGATTTTTCCACTTGGGGTTGCATCCCAGTTATATTATATATATATGGACTGTGGGATACATACATATATAGTGTATATATATATGGGTTATACGTATGGTATATATATATATTATCAATAAGGGTTCAAAACCATTCACTATCTGGGATGCATATCCAAGACCCATGAACACGGGAACTTGAGCCAAAAATGGGGGATCAAAGACGACAAATAAATCAGAATCAGCTGTTGTAAAGGGTTGTCCCTAAACAAAAAGCAACGCCCAGAAGTCTGTATCAATCCGTGATCAACACAAGACAAAATGGATTTACCCTCCGTAATCAAACATTTGGTTTGCCGGAAAATCACCCATTTCGTTCGATGATTTTCCCATCACTTGCCCTTCATCCCTGGTTCTCGGATTTCCGAGCCAAAGATCTTTGATGAAACCGAAGGGTATGTGGATGGTAGATGAAACCCTGACCTCAACATATTCCAGGCTCGTTATTTTAGCACACTTTCCAAAACCCCTGCAAGGTACATGGGCTACTCTGCCATGCTCATGGCTTCGAGACTTCGCGAGCTAGGTAGCTCTGGGGGTGTAGTGATGGGCGCTCCCAAATGGGATTGGACATACCCAACATGAAGATCGGTTACTAAGAAACATGCGGGAGTTAGATTAACCTGCCAAATTGTGTCTTTGTGTTAGGAATAATCCGGACTTTAGGATGATCTACGAATCGACTGCGGCTAATAGAATGAACGGTGGGATTATCGGATCTCATCATGGAATCCGTTACTGGCAAGAGCCCGAAATTAGATGTTCCTGAAATCATGATAGATCATGGACTTCAACCATTATCCAACATCATATTATCCAACATCATATCATCATATTATCCAACTTCAACATTAATCTTGGAAGTACTTCAATATCCAACATTATCCAACATTATCCATCCCACGGGCTCCCCAAACAGCCTCCCAGGTGGTGGGGGTCGAATTCAATCCTGCGATGTCAATGCGCTCACCTGGCCCTTTGCCAATGAGTTGATCTCCTTCGCGAACGTCTCAGGCTCGAAACTGAACACTTTTGGCACGGATAGTCTATCTTCCTCCTCAGATGGTCTATCTGGGTCTATCTGTCTATCTTTTTTCCTGATCCTCATACCAGGTATCCAACAATGAGGTGCCCCATTTTGTCCCCACGTCCCACGAATCTTTGCCAGGCGAAGTGCAACTCCGCGTGGGCTGCGCCGCGGACTGGCTCTCTAGTGGACAGCCTGGAACCTCGGTAGTGGACCTTGGATGCAGAGGAAACCAACCCAAACTGCGGAAAATCCCAGCATCTTTTGAGGTATAACATACCAATATTACACTAATCATACTATAAAATGATGTAGCCTGGGGTAAACTAACATAGATGTGGAAACCCAATGGATTCCCTAGGAAAATGGTCTACAAATAGTGGGTCCCGCGCGCCTACATTAGTTTACAGGAGGATAGAGGTTACCAATCACTTTGCGAGATGGATTTATAGATGGTTGATTTTCCAGAAAGTCATGTTTGGTCCGTGGAGGGTGTCTTTATAAATGGCAGACATCAACAATTCCAGTGGGTGGTTGGTGACACGTCGCCCCTGGAGATCCAGAAGGCCAAATCATCTCGTAGACATCTTAAAAAAGGTAACAGGTAACCCCTCCAACCCCTCCCGGGGCTTCACAGTTTCATAAGTCCCCGAAGTTTCAGGGTTGTTGAGTCGTTGGGGGTTTAGTTTTTTGTTTTTTTTTGTTTGGGTCGGACTTCTTTTCCTTTGGGCCAGGCTTGGCCAGATCGATCTGCTGCTTCTGGACCACCGTGGAACGGTCTACCAGGTGCTTCGTTTCGTTCGTTGCCAGTGAAGCCACCAGGAGAATTCTCCCAGGTGAAACGACCCGCCCAAGAGGTGTAAATTGGACATTTGTCGGAAACGTATGGGAAGAGTTTTCCATATTTTTCCACCATTTTCATCGAGGTTCCCACCGTTTTCAGGGATTTTCAAGCTGAACCCATGGATCCCAGGACGATCTGCGTGCTGCTGAACCGCAGTTGGCCTTTGGGGCGCGGGTGCTGGCCGACAACGTGCGCTTTGGGAATGGTGGGGGCTGTGCTCATGAAGTCCTTGTATGCATAGAGACATAAGATATTATATGTAAATACATACCTAGATTACTACACACACATATATAATATATATATATAATATCTAATATATATATAATATATATATAATATATATATAATATCTAATATATATATAATATATATATACGCCTGTATTTGTATCTATATCTACATACAAATATACAAATATACAAACATACACATATACAAATCGACAAGCATGCACATATACCTATATATATAGATACACACACATGCCTTTGTCTAATATCCAGTATCTATTATCTATATCTGTATCTGCATGTATACTGCCTGCAGCAATAAACCTGTACTGGTGTTTTGGTTTGGGGGTAGGCCTGACGTAGCTAGCTAGCAATAAATGGGGAGAATAGCTGGCAATGCATTTCTCATCATTTCTCAATCAAACCGGACAAGACATTATATTTTGGTGCCCAATTTGCAGAAAAAAACACCATCTGAAAACAGTAGCCATCTGGGCTTGTTCGAGAGTCACATCATGGTTTTCCCGTGGTAGGGCTAGGCGTCACCTTTTTTTGTGATGCCCATCCCCAATGGTCAGGGGTTGGTAACTGTCCCATTTTGGGAATATTGGACATCACCTTATAGTAGCCATTATAGACCATACACCTAATGGTTGGGTGATGTTCAATGGGGACATTTAATGACCCATGTTTTTTCGTGGCTGATGCCCATCCCCAAAGGTTTTCACCGATCTTCCCAGAGATTTTCCCATTCGGCGCAGGTCCTGTTGCCAGGTGCTCCACTCTTCTTGGCCCACGCGGCGAAAAGCTACGAGGTGACCATCCATGAGGCGTTCGGAAGTCGTTCGGGTTGTCGGTCCGTGGTGAAGCCATAGTGAATCATAGTGGTTGATCATGGTTTATGATGATTCAATGGATTGGTTTAAGGGAAAATCTACAGGAAAAATATATTCAATGGATTGATCTATGGTTTCCTGTAAAATTTCCCTTATACCAATCCAATCAATGATATATTATGATCATACTCATGGAAATGGTTATCATTGATAGAAAAAAATGCTTTATAAACCTACCATTAATATTATATATATATTATCATAATAATGGTCTAATCATACTCAGAATATCTCACAATGAAAAATCACTGATGTAATCATATTATATGATAGAATCATGGTGATGTTAGTGGTTGTATTATACGGTTAATCATGGTTATATGAATGATGCCATATAATGATCATGTTAATGTGGTAAAGCCAAACAACGGATTGTCTCCCCTTAATATAATCATTATCATCGATGGTTAATGGTTTAGAATGATCAACAATATCACACCATCCCAGCAACCAACCATGGCCAATTATGGCTCATTTAAAACCATCCCAGTCATGGAGGTATACCCCGGTATACCCAATTTCATATAATCCAAATTGGGGATGGTTTATGGCATTGGGTTTACCTCATGACATGATATAAGAACACCATGGTTTGCTGGGCCCAACATGGGCCCTTAAACCAAGCCTGGGATTCGTACCAAATTTTCCCCACCGTTCTTTGTGGATCTGTCCCTTTGGGCATCTGCAAAATCCACCCAAGCATTTTTTTCTTAATCTAGTTATCTAGTTTTGAAATCTTCTAATTTTAGGCTAACCACCCTATTTTTCTTAACATACCATGGGTAACTTTGGCGCCCGAGGTGCCCGAATTTCTGCAACCGGAGCTGGAGGACCATGACTTTTTGGGGGACATCCCAGTAGAGTCTACCCTACGCCATAAAGCTCCAAGAATGGGGGATGGTACTTGAGATCATCGAAATCATCGAAACGGCCGGTTGGTACTCCGTGGGACTCGACTAAGTATAAGTTGGATAACCAGGAACCGGTACTGTAAAGGGCTTTGAACAAGTTCTACTGGACATGGCTTGGAAACTGGAGAAGCATCTTCTCATGGTGTGCCCCGTGTTTTTTTTAGATCTTTTTGTTTCTCACCCAAGTAACCTGAATCCTAGAAATGGTTGTTTGAGCGGAAAATTGCAGAATTCGCAAGATTTGATTCGAAAAAACCATCTAAAAACGGATTGGAACACCCCCACGATATGGTGGCAAAACCCATGGACCCCTCCCAGATTTGATGTAAAAGCTCCAGATGTTTCCAGTAAATTTCCCAGTGAATTCACCATTTAATGGGCTGCAGGACTGGATCTTAAGCTGCACCAAGAGCACTGCGAGTTCCAGCGTGGCCGCAGATCTGAGGGAGCTGAGGTGTGGGCGGCGGAGCTGGGGAGAGTTGTTTTTTTTGCTCCAAAATCAACACAGGCAGTGGTGCAGCAGGGTGGATGCCTGGACCTCAGCTGAGTTAAACATGCCTCAGTTAAATTACTTAGCGATGTGGTGACCTGGTATATATATATATAAACATTACATAGTTGTATCTAATCTATCTATCTGTCTGTCTATCTATCTATCTATAACTGGTGGATGCTTCGACTCTTCCCCAGGCGATTTGCTGGGAGAGCCAGCGGATGGATGTGGATTGGGTCTCCTTTCAGGCAGGGATCACTTGGGACGACCTATGGAATGATGCGACTTGGATCGTGGTTACGGACCAAATCGCCAAGTTGTTCCAAGCGATAAGCACAAATAATATGGAGGTGTCCAAAAATGGGGGGACCCCCAAATCATCCATTAGACCATTTTAGTATTGAAACCCATGGTGACTTGGGGATCCCCCATTTTAAGAAACCCCCAGAGGTGCAATCCCAATTCTTGCAGCCACTGGTTGCGGGGAGGCAGAGTTATCTCCGGCTCTTCGCGGGTGGTGTGCGAAGCATGGAGTACGGGGAGCTTACAGAAAGGAGGGGAAACCTCTTGGTTGGGTCAATGGTTAAACAGTTTTGACATTTGACCCCTACCAAACTGATTTCATGGGGATATCCTGGGGATATCATGCGGATATCATGGGCTATCATGGGATATAACATTCGGAACCCTGCACCCTGAAAACCCCTGTTGCGTTGCGAAGCTGAATAATAGATTTAAGATGATAGAAGTAGCGACAGTCGATACCATAGATATGAACAACAACCACCAAGGTATAGATCATGTTCGGAACAGGAGACAACCTTAGAAGGTTGTTTTCCATACAAAGAACATGGAGGGTAGTTGGGGGTCCATCTGAATCGTAAATGGGTGAACAAAACTCAGTTATCTGTGACTGGAATATTTCTAGATTATCTGGGATGAAATATGGGTTATTATATAAACATGTATATATCTATAGTATATATATATAGTATATATATAGATACATATACTATATATATAGATACTATATAAATTATAAATGAATTCTATGGAGTAACCAGCTGCTTTCCAGCCCCAGGAGCCCACCGAAGCTGGTCAGCTGCGTGTCCGCGAGCTCCGGCGGAAGTTGCGCGCCATGGGGCAAGCAGATGCAGGCCATGGGGCCATGGGGCCGGCGGAAGTGGCGGAAAACAACGGTGGAACAATATGGGATGTGACCGTGAAAAATGGTGGTTTAATAAGGGTTTAATATGGTTTAATATGGTTCAATATGGTTTTTTAATATGTTTTTTTAATATGGGATATTGTTGGGATACCCTCCGGTGATTCGTTGCATATGGAAAGCGCCCATTTGTCGATGATTACCAGCGGTATACGTCAATCTATGGCCATTTTTGGATGTGCAAATGATGATTGACCATCACATTGTTGGGTTTTCCAGTAGTATGGTCCAATAGTTTTTAGACAATGTGGGGATGGGTCATTTGATTTTCCACAAGTCTTGATACACAAATTGGCAAGATAAGATTGTTATTTTTGATTCAGTTTGGAACATGCACGGATTCACCTCGGTTATTTCAATCTGCCTGGTTGGAACATTTTCCATTTATAATTACATGACTTTCCTCTATATTCTCATTAAACATATCCTATTGCGAGGTCAGATTTCAAGAGCGTACTCTCAAAATTGGATGCTCATAATCCTGATTATTTCCATTGACAAGAAAAGGTTGTTAGATTTGACTCAGAGTAGGGCACCTGTTTGCAAGGGCATGCGGAGTTACTATTGTTTCATCAGCAAAAACAACATTGCTGAGTTGATGCCGACTTGAGCTTTGCATGTTGCTTTCATGTAGGCCCTAGTTGCCTTCAAGCTATGCTCCCTGCTGCAAACATGAAGATATTCAAGTTGAGATTAGTCTTTCGCACTGATGTGTCTGTCGGCGCAATGCGGATTCAACATTTTGTCAGCTGATTGAAACAGCAGGTGCTTCTGATTCCTGAGTCAACACTTTGAAGAGCAATGGCCAAGTGATGTAATTTTATCGATTAGTCTTTCTGAAGCTACCCTTGCGGCAGCATGAAGACACGTCCAAACTGATGCTGACTTGATGCTGACTTGAACTTTTGCATGTTGCTTTCATGTAGGCCCTAGTTGCGTTCAAGCTATGCTCCCTGCTACAAACATGAAGATATTCAAGTTGAGATTAGTCTTTCGCACTGATGTGTCTGTCGGCGCAATGCGGATTCAACATTTTGTCAGCTGATTGAACCAGCAGGTGCTTCCGATTCCTGAGTCAACACTTTGAAGAGCAATGGCCAAGTGATGTAATTTTTTCGATTAGTCTTCTGATGCTGCACTTGTGGCTGCATGCAGACATCACTTTCCTGAAGGCCCGCGACTTCCAACGTGATCCAACGTGATCCAACATGATCCAACATGTCCAAGTTCTGTTCACCTTGCTCTTCACTTTAAGTGTGTCAAGCTGTGTCATGAGTCAAAACCATGCATGCTTGAATCATGCTGCAAACATGAAGATATTGAAGTTGAGATTAGTCTTTCGCACTGATGTGTCAGTCGGCACAATGCGGATTCAACACGAGTTTCTCTGATATCCATAGCAGCTTGTCGTTCTTGATTGCCCTGAACACTGGAGAAGGCAGGTGCCAAATGATGTAATTTTTTCGATTAGTCTTTCTGAAGCTACCCTTGCGGCAGCATGAAGACACGTCCAAACTGATGCTGACTTGATTCTGACTTGAGCTTTGCATGTTGCTTTCATGTAGGCCCTAGTTGCCTTCAAGCTATGCTCCCTGCTGCAAACATGAAGATATTCAAGTTGAGATTAGTCTTTCGCACTGATGTGTCTGTCGGCACAATGCGGATTCAACATTTTGTCAGCTGATTGAAACAGCAGGTGCTTCTGATTCCTGAGTCAACACTTTGAAGAGCAATGGCCAAGTGATGTAATTTTTTTCGATTAGTCTTCTGATGCTGCACTTGTGGCTGCATGCAGACATCCCTTTCCTGAAGGCCCGCGACTTCCAACGTGATCCAACGTGATCCAACATGACCCAACATGTCCAAGTTCTGTTCACCTTGCTCTTCACTTTAAGTGTGTCAAGCTGTGTCATGAGTCAAAACCATGCATGCTTGAATCATGCTGCAAACATGAAGATATTAAAGTTGAGATTAGTCTTTCGCACTGATGTGCCAGTCGGCACAATGCGGATTCAACACGAGTTTCTCTGATATCCATAGCAGCTTGTCGTTCTTGATTGCCCTGAACACTGGAGAAGGCAGGTGCCAAATGATGTTGAATTAATCGATTAGTCTTTCTGAAGCTACCCTTGCGGCAGCATGAAGACTCTTCGACGCTGATTCCGTGCTCAGATGCCTTTTGGTTGGTTTGGACTCATGGCACAGGATGGCATAGATCCATGTTTGCCAAATGTAAGATGCCACGTCAGAAATGTCTGAAAAAGGGGGGTATACCAATGTATACCGCATATACCTCCAAATAGCTGTTTTAATACAGAAAATGAATGAACACCCATCAATCTTGGCGCATATTTTTCAATCTCAAATGTTTCACAGTGAAATGCTGTTGGTCAGGGCCCAAGGCGGTATTGGCTCGGGCCCCTGATGGCGGGTCGGGGTGGAGGTGGCCCCAGGTCTGTTAGATGCCGCAGTCACTCTGGAGAATCACTAGATCAATGATTTTTCGCTGGAATAGGTTTCTGCTCACGTCAGCCTAGACGCCAACAGGCAGCAATGAACTAGGCTACGGCGCGGTTAGCGACCCGGGGTAACTCAGTGATTTTTCATGATGCTTGGTTCACCAAATCATGGTATTTGCAAGGTTTTGTAAAACCGTGATAAAAATGTCAAATCGTAGTTACTTTGGGGCCTACTACAAAAAGTGCGTTTCGTGTGAAACGTTCATCGATTTTCAATACCCCTGAAACGAATTATTGTTTTTTTTCGTTTGTTGGAGAAAATTAGGTACATCTGACCACCAGTCATGGAGCAACACTTCTTTTTCAACTTACCTTGCAAGTTCTTCAGCGTCGACTCTTTTTGGCCAGCTTTCCCAGTTCCTTCCACAGGTTATGACCTGAGTTGTGTCTGTACATGAAGGCTTTAATCTGGTCCAGCAAGCGACGGTCGACACGGCGATCTAACTTCCCGCGAGTTCGCAGGTTGGAAACAACGAATTGTTTGAGAATTTTCCAAAAGCTATCCAACAGCTGGGTTCCTGTGAAGAGTCTTTTCCTAGGAACCTTCTTCACAAACTGCATTCGACTATGTGATACAGAGGAAAATTGAAAACCGGCCTTTTTGGCCTCCACCCCAACCCAGTGACGTGACGTCAGTTGTGCATGTGACGCAAGTTAACATGAACGTTAACATCCCCACCCCACCCCAACCCAGTGACGTGACGTCAGTTGTGCATGTGACGCAAGTTAACATGAACGTTAACATCCCCACCCCACCCCAACCCAGTGACGTGACGTCAGTTGTGCATGTGACGCAAGTTAACATGAACGTTAACATCCCCACCCCACCCCAACCCAGTGACGTGACGTGCATGTGACGCAAGTTAACATGAACGTTAACATCCCCACCCCACCCCAATCCAGTGACGTGACGTCAGTTGTGCATGCATCAATTTCAAGAGCAACTTGCCTCCAGTCAGCAAAAATGCCAAAAACGCAGGGGTCGTTAATGGCGCCGTAGGCATGAACTAGGAACCCATCACATCACTATTTTTGTCAGGAGCATAGCTCATGTTTGCTGGGGTAGATACCTCCCAGTGCTTGGTTGATCATTGCGACAGATGGCAAAAGATCGATTCCGGAGTTCGGACAGCTGCCAGACTCTACCTTTTTCGAGGTGAAACGATACCTGAAAGCTGCAGCTGAGCTGGGCTAACGCCTGGAAGACGGAGATGGGAAGAACATGAAGGCGAAGGTGGGGAGCACATGTTCGAGGAGGGAAGTCTGGGGATACTTCGGAAGGGTCAAGCAGTGTGCTTGGGTCAAACCTGGGATATTCGACGCATCGCGAATCCAGTTTTGCCCGGGGTTGGCAGATTTGCACCATGAACTTCTGTATTCAACCTGCAAAAACAGATTATTCCTTGGCTTTTCCACAGTTCCATCGTTGACTCTACAACATTGTGCAGCTTGGCTCACAGACGAGATATTTCTGCAAGAGTAGTTGTTCATCTAGGTGTCATCCAAGCGACCAACACGGGTTTTCAAAAGTGGATCATTGATTTAAAATCAATAATTTTGTTTGGTGATATATTTAAGGGCTGCCGCCTCTGCCGCCGACCCCGGAAGAAGTGGCAACGAATCAAACCAAATAACACCACCTAATATCGCGCCCAAAAAGCAACAAAAGCACCCCAAAAAGGGTCTAACGTCACTTCTGAAACCCTACTATAAAATTGTATAACATTGAGACTTTTCAGTTTTGTGGCCAGCGAGCCCGCCAAGCACAATTGACTTTTCAGTTTTAAGGACCTATAAAATTGAGACCTTTCGGTTTTGTGGCCAGCGAACCTGCCAAGCACAAGCTGCATGCCTTTGTGACGCATCCGCAACGGCAAAACACTATCTAATTTCGTGCCCAAAACGCAGTACAGGAACCCCAAAAAAGGGCCTAACGTCACGTCTGAAACCCTACTATATAAAATTGAATTTTTTGAAAACTTCATTTTTGGCCTGGAGGGATTGGCTTGAAGTTCATCAATACAAATTGTCTTGCGTGCGTTGATCAAGGGCCTCACCAGTGTCTTCATTGATTCTCTGGTGAGTGCCCTCCAGCTTCAGGATGCGTAGGCACTTTCATGGCCCCCGGTCTGGCCATTCTGACCGGGGTTGTGTGGGAGCGGTTCCTATTAGCCATGGTCCCACAGAAGTGTCCTTTAGTGCTGCTTTTTGTGCAGCCGTGCATCCTGGCGTAATTGTTGGCTTGAAAGCCAAAGGATTCACATGCGATGTTGATTTGCGGTATCTTACAGTAGAAGAATTGACTTCAGGAATGCAAGGTTTTCTGGATGAGGAAGAGGCTGCTAGCCTTATTGAATTGTCACAAGTCACTGTGCGAAGCATGCCAAACCGGTCAAGCAGTGGAAGTATCTGTGTCGCTTCGAGCCCATCTGACAACACGGCAAGAGCATCACCACCCGCACTTTTTTCCGAGTCGCAGGTTGCAATCAGCGCGTCCGCTCCCAAGCGTCGTTGTCTGTCTCAGGTTGCACCGGTGGATTTTTTTTGGGATATTTATATCCGGCTCGGCATTCGCGGGCTGCTTTGGTCTCCGCTTGCTGCCAGTAACCCAGATGCTGCCAGAGTGGGCTTTGAGCGCCGGTTTCAGAATTTTGAGCTTAAGAGCTTGAAAGCAAAAATCAGCATGCTCAGACGGTGGTGGAGATTTCTAGAAGCTCAGCAAGCACCGCAATCAAATGCCGTGCTGCCAGCAGTCCAACCATGTTTTCAATTTTTGCAAGCTGTAGCAGCGTCTGGCCCCACAGCTGCACCAGGAGTCTTCCAAAATATGCTTTGGTGGCGTCGCCATGTCGGAATTCCATGGCCCACTGAGGACCCGCTTTTGTGTACGTGGAATCGTGTCTTAGAACCGCATGCCCCAAAAGAGCGTACGCCGTTGTCATTTAAGGCTTACTCTTTTTTAGTAGATCTGACGTCCAAAACCCCAGCTGCAGTTGCGTCCTTCGCGGCATTCGCCTTGCTTCCATTGGTGGCTTGTTTGCGCTTTGCACACGTGCAGCGATCAGTAGGCCTTGCAGTGGATGGTGAGTATGTGGTTGGGCTATGTGTGAAAGGCAAGAGCCGCCGGAAAGGTGGGAGGCCACCGTTTCGATGGGCCGCCCCAGCGCATTTTGCTGGTCGAAACAATGTCTTCGACCCCATGCTGAGAGTCGTTCAACAGCTCCAGTCGCAGCATGGAACTTTGCCATTTGTGATCCCGGACCTCGCTTTGGGCCCGTCTGGAGTTGTGGATGGCAATGCAAAGTGGTGCCAGAGGCCAATGCCCATTGAGAAATTTATTTCATTGCTCCGATCTCTCTTGGGTTGTAGGAATGTTGACAGAGATGAGATCGAAAGTATCACCACTTATAGCTTGCGTAGATTCCTGCCAACAATTGCTGAAGTGTTGCTCACGCCTCCATTTGTTTCCCAGGCTCTTGGGAACTGGCAGGAATTTCCAACGCAATCCCATGTGGATCCAGTAGCCTTGAGTATGGCGCAGCACTATGCGCATGACAAAGTCGCTAGCGCTGGCTACGTTAAAGGGCTCTTATTGTCAGCAGTGCAGAAGGCTCAGCAGGCTTGCCCAGGGGAAAAAATTGTGTGGCAAACGTTTCGGAAATGCGGCATCACATGGCAATCCCTCGTCCCCTTTGAATTTCAGGAGGAGCGGGGTCGTGACGCATCCACGCCTTTGGACGAATCTTCCAGTGAGTCTAGCTCTTCAAGCTCTAGCAATGCATCTGATGCAAGTGCAGCTAGAAGGGTGTGCCAAACCATAAATTGGATGAGCGTCCAGCCAGCGGTGGTGCACATCTTGCAAGATGGTGGTGCAGCTTTTATTCCATGGTGCCGTACCACCCCTTTTGTTTCTGCTAATGTGAAATGGGGGACTGGGCTTCAACCAGGCTCCAATGTCTGCGCAAAGTGTATCCACCGTGTCCCACCATCTCTGCTTCAGGCAATCAGAAAGGCCTTGGCACAAACTGATGGGTGATTGGCGTGGGGCCATCGATGGCCCTTAGCCTTCCACCTTAGAATTATTTGGCTCTGACCCTGACCCACAGGCCACTTCTTGCCTTGTGTAGGGGGTGGGCAACCTTCTTTGCGCAAGCCTAATTGCTAGGCGGCGTCTGCTAGTTGGCAGTGCAATGACCATGAGGCGCTTGAAAAGTGCAGCGCGAGAAAGACTGCGGGGTCGTGTGGTTATCAAACTGCTTCTTGTTTCGGAGTTTAATCCCAACATGGCAGTTGGAGCTGCGCTTAGCTGATTTTGCCTTGCAGTTTTTCATTGTGGTCGTTCAGTCATCCTGTCTTTGTTTTTGTTTTTTTAATGCATATATCATATATATATATTATTTTGTAAATACTTGTGCTGATGTGGGCGCGAGGGTTTGCTTGTAAGTTGTTTTTTTTGGCTACTTGAAAGTGAGCTTACTCATTGTCTCTGGTGATGCCACGCTGTTGCTCATTATTGGATGAGTTCACGCGTGTGAAGCCAGCTGCGCTCACGGCATGTCACTAGCTTCGTTTAGGCTTCAAGCACAACCCTCGCCATGCCCGGACCACAGTCCGCTCAAGTGAAGCGAGACAAGGAGGAATTGTCCAAATTGTTTCAGCAATGTAGGTTGTCTGAAGACCTCATCAAGTATATCGACACGGTTGGTGTGGAGTCCCTCTCCGATTTTGTCAACATGGTCAGTGCTGCATCCTATGAAAGTGAGCTCAAGACGTTGTTGCTTGACCCTTCATCGGAGAAGGGAAGTGTCATTCAATTGTCCAGATTACGAGCTTCCTGGCAAGAAGCTAAATCTGTCCTTGAGCGCTCCAAAAAGCGTAGGCTGGAGGGTGTTGCAGAAGATGCTGATGATCCTCTAGATACTGTCATGCAAGAGGGTCTCATGTCCAGTTTTGCCACTCAGTATGGACTGAGATTGCCCATGCATTTGACGCCCAGTGACTCCCTACTGGGTCGCGTTTACCGAGAAGTATCCAAGGGCGCTCCTACAGTGATAGCCATTCGCAAGGTGCAATCGTTGTACAAAGCCTCTCAAGTTGCAGCCAAGGAAGAGGTATCCCTAGGCAATCACATTAAGGTCCAACTGCAGTCTGAGCCTCCACCTCTGAAGCACACAATCCAATATTATTTTGGTCTGCGCATTTTAGGAAATGCTTATGCAATTGTTGGCCAGCACAAAGTGGAATCTGCAGTCACTCCATCCAAGCAAGTTGTCGCTGCGCCTCTCAGTGTGAACCTTGACTATGCAGATTTTTGCCTGCGCAAAGCCTCTGAATGCGCTATGGTTCCCGACCTGCAGCTTCAGTGGCTCCAAGCCCGTGATGAGCACACGAGGTCCCGTATGGTTGAATTGATGCGCCAGAATTACCCACAAGGTGAGGCGCTAGAAAAGGCGCTGGCAGAGACGGAGCTCTTGTGGAACGCGCAGACGCAGCAGATTCATGAGCAGCCGTCCTCTGGCATGACCACCTCGCCAGCAAGCACCCCAAGCAAGAGGTCTGAACGCACAGTGCGTGTTTTATCCACAGGCCAAGCAATTTGCAAGAAGAGAAATGACCAGCGAGGTTGCACCGCCAAAGAACGAGACTGCCCTGACCAAAAGAGACATGTATGTGATGTAAAGAAGCCTGACGGTGAAGTGTGCGGGTCCCCATCCCATGTCCGAAGCCAGTGTCCTTTCTTGAGTAAGAAGCCTTGACTACGAGGCTCAGCTCCTGATCTTGTAGGTCGTTCTCACCGCCATGTTTCTTTTGAGGAGCCCAAGTTGTTTGAATTTGGTGCTGTTGGTGAGAACAATAGGCCTCAGCAGAAGGCACGGCCTCCTTTTGCAGTTTGGAAGGCTCGAGGGGGCCTCCCTTTTTTGCCATGGTCGCCATGCAAGCGCGGCCCTATTTTGCTTGTAGCCCTTTTTGATGGGGTAGGTTGCACACTTTTGACCTTGGCCACGCTAGGCCTGGATTTTGCAGTAGTGTTAGTTGAGTGCCTTTTTTGTGAAGCTGTCGCTGACGCGTTTGCTTCATGCTTACACTTCCCCGAAGTTGCCAAATTTTGTTGGACTGATTTGCCCAAATGTTGGAGACAAGCCCCATGGGCAACTATTCTTGTAGTTGGAGGCAAGCACTGCCACAAAGAAGAGACGCATTGTGTTCACCATACCCGAAGGGTTGCAGACGAAGCGGCTCAAGACGTTGGAAGTGCATTTGCTGCGCCTTGTGTGTTAGCCATTTTCGAACATACCGTTTGTGCCCAGCATGACATCCTACGCGCGACCAGGAGCCAGTTCCCCTTGGGTCCTTTATTCAGTCAAGCTGCTGATTTTGGGCACATTAAACAGGAAAGGGCTTGGTGGGCATGGTCCCCTTCATTCCCAGCCTTGGATCTCCCTTTGCAGCCGTTGAGTGATGTGAAGGCGGAAGCCGTTGAGTGCGGGGTTCGCTTGACATATATGGGGAAACCAATCCCTAAACGTGTGTTTTTTGAGGATGGATATTTGCCACAAGGTGATTGTCTCTTTCCATGATTTAGTGAGGAACACGCGCCTTTTCCAGAGCTCAGTCTGCAACAGCATGTTTCCCCTTCAGCAGTCGGGCGTTTTCAGAGTGATGGGAAGCGCTTGCCCGCTTCCGCCTACGAAGCTCAAGCGTTGTTGTGGAAGGGAAATGCCTGGCGTGTACCGTCAGTAAGGGAAAAGGCACAGTTGCATTGTATTCCAGGTAGCTTGCTTCTTGGTCCTGCAGGGGAGGGTCATTCATGCGAAGCTGCTTTGGCTGCGGCGCTAGAAAACTCTTTCCACATTCCTTCGTTGGCTATGGTTCTTTGCGTTTTTCTCACAAGCGTGGCTGGTGCAGTGCGCGTTCCAGCGCCCTGGTATTCCTTGGAAGAAGGGCGCCTTAGAGAGTTGACTTGGAACACGGTTTTTCACACAAAGGTCTTGCAATCCATCCCAGGCCTCATGAGTTCCCATCAACTTGCTGACTACTTCTACCAGCGGTGCGCGTTGCACGGTATCCAGTTCAATATGCCGCAGTCTCAGCTTGCGTATGTTCTGGCCGCCAGTGACCTGGCTTGTTTGCAAGTTTATTGGGCGGATACACAGCTCAGGGGGTTACAGGCCAATCCGCAAGGGCTCGATTGGGCCCAGCAGAAAGCCCCTGCGTTGGCAGCTGCCGCTACAGGCAACCAACGAGGTTCTGGTTTGTCCTCTTTTGCCCTGCCGCCTTTGCATGAGCGAGGCTTGTCAAAAGATGCCCACTTGTTGGCCTCCGCTTCAGTGAAGTCACCCTTTGCGCAACCAGTGCCTTTAGATGACGATGCCATGTTTGTTTGCAGGGCCATGTCCACGTTTGGCCCGCGTTTTCGCTCATGGAGGATTCAGCAGCTGAGAGAGCTACAGCGGATGGCTAAGAAGTTGGTACCATGGGAGAAAGCCTTGTGTGCTCACATGCCTGCGTCTGTCGCATGCGTTGCATCCAACAAGAGACCGGCCTTTTTGTTAGCATGTGCTTTGTTGCTTCGTTGGCCTGATGAAACGTGTCCGCTACGTTATGTCTTAGGCTTTGGTATAATAGGCGACATTGAAAACTCCAGCCTTTTCCGCCCTTTGGTTACTGACCAATCGTTGCCGGTCGGTAAGGCAGTTTTGCTAGGTGAGTCTGCCCTTCAGAACTTGCAGGCAATGCATAGTAGAGTCCGGCCCGGGTCTCATGATGAGGCATTGCGTGACATGACTTTGCAAGAAGTCCAGCTAGGTTTTGCAGAAGGGCCGTTCTCTCAAAGCCAAATAGACAGCATGTTTGGGGTAGGAGGCTGGAGGCCGTTGGAGCGTTTCGTGCATGTCCAAAGTTGTGGTAAGCTCCGCTTAATCGACAGTGGGAAAAAGCCAGGCCACAACAAGGCCTGTAGGGAAACTGAAACAATCTATACAGCATCCGTGGATGTCATCCCTGCAGCAACACAAGCCATTTTTGAGCAAGCGCAGCGCAACTGGGGCTCAGCCTACGAGCATTCAATTCCCTGGCTCCAGATGGTTCTAGGTACAGAAGATATGTGTCATGCATACCGCCAGTGTCCCATCCAGCCATCAGACAGATGCTGCGCAGTCGTGAGCTATTGGGATTGCGTCCAGAATGACATCAGGTTTGTTATCCTCAATGGCATGCCTTTTGGCCTGTCCTCTGCAGTCCTTGCCTTTAATAGGACACCTGCTTTGCTAACCGCGGTATCGCGCAGAATGGGAGGCGCCTTAGCCATTTACTTCTTTGACGATACTGGGATCTTGACTTCCAGGCCTGCCAAGGGTCAGCCCAAGCAGTGGTGCGAGGAGTTTATGGTGCAGCAGGTGCCCAGCTTGATCCCAAGAAATCTCAAGCCCCGGCATCTTGCCGTGTTTCCCCGGCATCTTGCCGTGTTTTTTTAGGCGTTGCAGTGAATGTTGGGATTGCCCATTTGGATGGTGTCGTTTCTTTCGACCTCAAACCTGGCTTCAGAGATGCAGTTGCTGCAGACATACACAAAATTCTTGGCGACAAAATTTTGACTTCCGGGCAAGCCGCCAAGCTCCGAGGTAAGTTCGGTTGGGCTAGTACTGGCACCTTTGGCAAGTGCGGCCGTGGAGGCCAAGCTGCCCTTGTGCAGAGGCAGTATTTTGATTCCTCTGATGCATTGACACCGCACCTTGTAGATGCGTTGTGGTTTCATCTGCTTTTAGCCACGGTAGTGCCGCCTAGAATTGTGCAAATTGGCCGCCCACCGGTGCCGCCAGTACGGATATATTCCGATGCCAGCTATGAGCCTGACTTTCATCAGCCAGCCCGTGTAGGGTTTGTAGTTTTCCCAAACCTCGCAGGTTTGCAGCCGATTGGCATGACTGCAGTGTTGGGACCTGAAGTTATTGCATGTCTAGTTGACCGCAAGCAGCAAATAACGCCATGTGAGGCCTTGCTCAGTGTCATTGTGCCGGCTAACGTTCCCCATCTCATGTGTAATCAGGATATTGTTTGGTACATTGATAACCAGGCCGCTTGCCAGAGCTTAACAAAGGGTTCTAGTTCCGCCGGCGATATTTGTGCCATTGCTTCACTTGCTCACTTGATGTTTGCACGACTAGGTTGCAGAGTGTATTTTGAGTTTGTAGAGTCTGAAGCCAATGTTTCAGATGGCCTTTCCCGAGAAGGATTGAAGGATGGATGGACTTGCCAGCAGGGATGGCTGCTGTCAGAAGCCGTTATCCCCGAAGTCTTTTTTATCGCTTCGCGATCTCTGGCCGCTGCGCTCAAGATGGTATAGCATTGGGAGTCTTAGCATTGGGTTCGTAAGTATACCTTTTGATTTGGAGCCAGGCTGAGCATTCAGATTTGCTGGTTCTGTCTGTAAGACAGTATGCATTCCATATTGCCCAGCCTTGCCTGTGATCCAAGCACTTCCAAGCTAAGCAGCCCATCATGCTTTGCCTGGCTTTGTTCCATGCCATGCTCCATATTGCTTAGCCCGTCAGTGTTGAGTTTTTATCCAATGCATACCACTTGTCTTCGAAGATCGGCTTCAGCTTCTTCACATCTGGCAGAACTTGAGATTTGGCGCTCGGAAGAGGAAAAAACCGGTCAGGCCGAGCGCGCTGCAAGAGAGTCAAGCATTTTGGATTGTTATAATAAAATTGAGACTTTTTAGTTTTATTTCCAGCGAGCCCGCCCAGGACAAGCTGCATAACTTTGTGACGCGTCCGCAACGGCAAAACAGCACCCAATTTCGTGCCCAAAACGTAGCACAGGAACCCCAAAAAAGGGCCTAACGTCACTTCTGAAACCCTACTATAAAATTGACAATTGTCAGTTTTGTGGCCAGCGAGCCTGCCAAGCACAAGCTGCATGCCTTTGTGACGCATCCGCAACGGCAAAGCACCACCTAATTTCGTGCCCAAAACGTAGCACAGGAACCGCAAAAAAGGGCCTAACGTCATTTCTGAAACCCTACTATAAAATTGTTGAGCTTTTTATAAAATTGAGACTTTCCAGTTTTGTGGCCAGCGAGCCTGCCAAGCACAAGTTGCATAGCTTTGTGACGCATCCGCAACGGCAAAACAGCACCTAATTTCGTGCCCAAAACGTAGCAAAAGAACACCAAAAAAGGGCCTAACGTCACTTCTGAAACCCTACTATAAAATTGTAAAATTGAAATAAAATTGAATTGAAACTTTGATAAAAATTGAGATTTTTCAGTTTTGTCGCCAGCGAGCCTGCCAAGCACAAGCTGCATGGCTTTGTGACGCATCCGCAACGGCAAAGCAGCACCCAATTTCGTGCCCAAAACGTAGCAAAAGAACACCAAAAAAGGGCCTAAATTGAAATAAAATTGAATTGAAACTTGGATAAAATTTTGTTTCCAGCGAGCCTGCCAAGCACAAGCTGCATAACTTCGTGACGCATCCGCAACGGCAAAACAGCACCTAATTTCGTGCCCAAAACGTAGCAAAAGAAGCCCAAACGTCACTTCTGAAACCCACTCTACTATAAAATTGAAACTTTTCAGTTTTGTAGCCAGCGAGCCTGCCAAGCACAAGTTGCATAGCTTTGTGACGCATCCGCAACGGCAAAACAGCACCTAATTTCGTGCCCAAAACCGAGCAAAAGAACACCAAAAAAGGCCTAACGTCACTTCTGAAACCCTACTATAAAAATTGATTGAAACTTTTCAGTTTTGTGGCCATCGAGCTTGCCAAGCACAAGTTGCATCGCTTTGTGACGCATCCGCAACAGCGAAACAGCATCTAATTTCGTGCCCAAAACGTAGCCAAAGAACACCAAAAAATAACGTCACTTCTGAAACCCTACTATAAAATTGAAATAAAATTGAAACTTTGATTGAAACTTTGATAAAATTGAGACTTTTCAGTTTTGTTTCCAGCGAGCCTGCCAAGCACAAGCTGCATAGCTTTGTGACGCATCCGCAACGGCAAAATAGCACCCAATTTCGTGCCCAAATCGTAGCAAAAGAAGACCAAAAAAGGGCCTAACGTCACTTCTGAAATCCGATTTTAAAAATATGAGACTTTTCAGTTTTGTAGCCAGCGAGCCTGCAAAGCACAAGTTGCATGGCCTTGTGACGCATTCGCAACGGCAAAACAGCACCCAATTTCGTGCCCAAAACGTAGCACAGGAACCGCAAAAAAGGGCCTAACGTCATTTCTGAAACCCTACTATAAAATTGTTGAGCTTTTTATAAAATTGAGACTTTCCAGTTTTGTGGCCAGCGAGCCTGCCAAGCACAAGTTGCATAGCTTTGTGACGCATCCGCAACGGCAAAACAGCACCTAATTTCGTGCCCAAAACGTAGCAAAAGAACACCAAAAAAGGGTCTAACGTCATTTCTGAAACCCTACTACACAATTATAACATTGAAAATAAAATTGAAATAAAATTGAATTGAAACTTGGATAAAAATGAGACTTTTCAGTTTTGTTTCCAGCGAGCCTGCCAAGCACAAGCTGCATAACTTTGTTCCGCAACGGCAAAACAGCACCCAATTTCGTGCCCAAAACCTAGCAAAAAAACACCAAAAAAGGGCCTAACGTCACTTCTGACGCTCTGCTATAAAATTGTAAAATTGAAATAAAATTGAATTGAAACTTTGATAAAATTGAGACTTTTCAATTTTGTTTCCAGCGAGCCTGCCAAGCACAAGCTGCATAGCTTTGTGACGCATCCGCAACAGCAAAACAGCACCCAATTTCGTACCCAAAACGTAGCAAAAGAACACCAAAAAAGGCCCTAACGTCACTTCTGAAACCCTACTATACAATTGTAAAATTGAAATAAAATTGAGTTGAAACTTTGATAAAAATTGAGATTTTTCAGTTTTGTCGCCAGCGAGCCTGCCAAGCACAACCTGCATGGCTTTGTGACGCATCCGCAACGGCAAAACAGCACCTAATTTCGTGCCCAAAACGTAGCAAAAGAACACCAAAAAAGGACCTAACATCACTTCTGAAACCCTACTATAAAATTGTAAAATTGAAATAAAATTGAATTGAAACTTTGATAAAAATGAGACTTTTCAGTTTTGTGGCCAGCGAGTGTGCCAAGCACAAGCTGCATGGCTTTGTGACGCATCCGCAATGGCAAAGCAGCACCCAATTTCGTGCCCAAAACGTAGCAAAAGAACACCAAAAAAGGGCCTAAATTGAAATAGAATTGAATTGAAATTTGGATAAAATTGAGACTTTTCAGTTTTGTTTCCAGCGAGCCTGCCAAGCACAAGCTGCATAACTTTGTGATGCATCCGCAACGGCAAAACAGCACCTAATTTCGTGCCCAAAACGTAGCAAAAGAAGCCCAAACGTCACTTCTGAAACCCACTCTACTATAAAATTGAAACTTTTCAGTTTTGTAGCCAGCGAGCCTGCCAAGCACAAGTTGCATAGCTTTGTGACGCATCCGCAACGGCAAAACAGCACCTAATTTCGTGCCCAAAACCGAGCAAAAGAACACCAAAAAAGGCCTAACATCACTTCTGAAACCCTACTATAAAAATTGATTGAGACTTTTCAGTTTTGTGGCCATCGAGCTTGCCAAGCACAAGTTGCATCGCTTTGTGACGCATCCGCAACAGCGAAACAGCATCTAATTTCGTGCCCAAAACGTAGCCAAAGAACACCAAAAAATAACGTCACTTCTGAAACCCTACTATAAAATTGAAATAAAATTGAAACTTTGATTGAAACTTTGATAAAATTGAGACTTTTCAGTTTTGTTTCCAGCGAGCCTGCCAAGCACAAGCTGCATAGCTTTGTGACGCATCCGCAACGGCAAAATAGCACCCAATTTCGTGCCCAAATCGTAGCAAAAGAAGACCAAAAAAGGGCCTAACGTCACTTCTGAATACTTCTGAAACCCGACTTAAAAAAAAATGAGACTTTTCAGTTTTGTAGCCAGCGAGCCTGCAAAGCACAAGTTGCATGGCTTTGTGACGCATTCGCAACGGCAAAACAGCACCCAATTTCGTGCCCAAAACGTAGCACAGGAACCGCAAAAAAGGGCCTAACGTCATTTCTGAAACCCTACTATAAAATTGTCGAGCTTTTTATAAAATTGAGACTTTCCAGTTTTGTGGCCAGCGAGCCTGCCAAGCACAAGTTGCATAGCTTTGTGACGCATCCGCAACGGCAAAACAGCACCTAATTTCGTGCCCAAAACGTAGCAAAAGAACACCAAAAAAGGGTCTAACGTCACTTCTGAAACCCTACTACAAAATTGTAAAATTGAAAATAAAATTGTATAAAATTGAAATAAAATTGAATTGAAACTTGGATAAAAATGAGACTTTTCAGTTTTGTTTCCAGCGAGCCTGCCAAGCACAAGCTGCATAACTTTGTTCCGCAACGGCAAAACAGAACCTAATTTCGTGCCCAAAACGTAGCAAAAGAACAAAAAAGGGCCTAACGTCACTTCTGAAACCCTACTATGAACTTGACTTTTCAGTTTTGTCGCCAGCGAGCCTGCCAAGCACAAGCTGCATGGCTTTGTGACGCATCCGCAACGGCAAAACAGCACCCAATTTCGTGCCCAAAACCTAGCAAAAGATCACCAAAAAAGGGCCTAACGTCACTTCTGACGCTCTACTATAAAATTGTAAAATTGAAATAAAATTGAATTGAAACTTTGATAAAATTGAGACTTTTCAATTTTGTTTCCAGCGAGCCTGCCAAGCACAAGCTGCATAGCTTTGTGACGCATCCGCAACAGCAAAACAGCACCCAATTTCGTACCCAAAACGTAGCAAAAGAACACCAAAAAAGGCCCTAACGTCACTTCTGAAACCCTACTATACAATTGTAAAATTGAAATAAAATTGAGTTGAAACTTTGATAAAAATTGAGATTTTTCAGTTTTGTCGCCAGCGAGCCTGCCAAGCACAACCTGCATGGCTTTGTGACGCATCCGCAACGGCAAAACAGCACCCAATTTCGTGCC